ATGAAAATTATATTTGCTTCCCAGAATCAAGCTCAAGAGTGTGGGGAGGCCAGCAATCTGCATGTAGAAAAAGTACCCTAGTTGATTCTGGTCAGCATAATTTGGGAATCACTAATTTAATCATTTCTCCCAATGTGAATACTTTTTAATTAAATTTTTGGTTTTATTGGTACATATTTATGATAAATAATGATTACATTTGTTATGGGGAGCTGGTACATGGACATAACACATATTAATTCTTATTTCATCCCTGTCTCACTTGTTCCTTCCCTCCGCGCTCCAACTTTGGTTCCCTTCACTTTTTTTTTTTTTGGTGGAACCAGGGATTGAACTGAGGCCCTTGCACTTGCCAGGCAAGCGCTTATTCTACTAAGCTATCTCCCTGGTCCTCCCCTTAACTTTTGTGAAAGCTCAATCTTCCTATTTTCTATTATCCATATTTTATTTAGCTCTTTACATTTTGCATGTATTTTATGAGAGAAACCATGCAATATTCAATTTTGTGTGTCTGGTTTATTTCACTTAACATTATAGTCTCCAGGTGCATTCATTTCCATATAAACGGTTCAAGTTTATCCTTCTTTATTGGAGAGCAGTACTCCATTTTGTATAGTTTCACTTTCTGTATCCATTTATCTGTTGATGGACATACAGGCTGCTTCCAAGATTTAGCTATTATGAGTTGTTCTGCTATAAGCTTGGGTATACATGTATCACTTATATGTCTTTAACTCTTTCAAGAAGATACCTCGATTGGAACTAGCTGGGTTGAATAGACTGGCTATTTGCAGTTTTCGAGAAGTCTTCATACTGATTTTCATTGTAGTTGTACTGATTTACGTTCCTACACAATATAGAAATGTTCTGTCCCCCTAAGCTCATTAGCATTTCTTATTATTGATTGCTTGTTGGCAATCATATTTTCTGGAGTAGGATAAAATCTCAATGTTGTTTTAATTTGTGTTTCTCTAGTGATCAAAGGTGTTAAACAGGTTTTCTTTTTTTGTTTAATGGATTTGGTTGTTACAAGGTCTCACTGTGCAGCTTGGACCCATAGTGATCCTCCTGTTTTCAGCCTCCTCAGTGCTGGAATTATAGGCATGCACCACCACGCCTGCACTCTGTGGCTGGCACAGCATGTGGTACTGGGAATCGAAGCATGGTCCCTGTGCTTTTGCCTAAATTTGCCTAAGTAGGCATTTTAGTCCACTGAGCTATCTTACCAGCCCCTCTTTTTTCTTTTTTAAACTAATGTAATTGGTACATTTTTTACAAACATAATTATCACAGTCACCATAGGAAATTTGCACCTGTATGTAATATATCTTAATTCTTTTTCCCATTACCTTCCCTTTCCTTCAATCTTTTTTCCTCTCTCCACTTACAAAAATTTGTTTCTATTATTTTACTCCCATTCTTTTTCTATTTTTTAAATTATTTATTTATTTATTACAGAGTCTCACTATGCAGTTCAGACACATAGTGATCTTCCTGTCTCAGCCTTCCCAGTTCAGTGATTATAGGCATGCACCACCATGCCCAGTTTCAGGGTCAGACATGCGGTACTGGGGATCAAATTCAGGACCTTGTACTTGCCAGGCAGGCACTGAGACAGCTGAGCTATCTCCCCAGTCCTTTACTCCCATTCTTTTTAAAATTTTTAAGCACTTTACTTTTTTTTCCCTTTTCCCTGCTTTGTTTCCTTTCCCATTTAAATATTTTCTTCTTACTTCACAATATCTGTCATATATTTGGATCCTTATTTATGCTTTTTGTTTCTCACTCAATGTGATTTCTCACACAATGTGGTATTTAAACATTTGCACCTGATTTATTTCACTTAACATTATGTTCTTGTGGTTTATTTATATAAATTTATCCTTCTTTATGGCTGAGTAGTACTCCATTATATAAAAATGCCACGTCATTTTTTTATCGATTCCTCATTTGATGGGCATTTGGTTGTATACAAGATTTAGTTATGATAAATTGTGCTGCTATAAACATGGGTGTGGGGGCTTGCTGGTTAGCTCAGTTGTTTAAGTGCCTGCCCGGGCAAACCTAGTCAGGCTTGTGGGACCGCGGTTCAATCCCCAGCTCCACATGCCACACCATACCTACACTCAGGGCAGCCTGAGCCAGCCAAAAAAAGAATCCTTTTCAACATTGGCCGGGGAGATAGCTCAGTAGAAGAAGTGCCTGCCTGGAAAGTACAAGGTCCTGAGTTTAATTCCCAGTACCTGAAAAGAAAAAAAAAAAAAAAAAGATGTGAGACATTTTAGACTGGGCATGGTGGCACGTGCGTGTAATCTCAGCTCTTGCGAGGCTGTAAACAGATGGATCACTACAAGTTCGATCTAGTAGTGAGACCCTGAACATCCTGTAGACCCTTCCCTAAAATACAAATAAATAAATAAATAAAAATAAACATGGGTGCATATATATCTATCTCTGTGGTATGTTTTTAATTCTTCTGGGAAAATACCCAGAAAAGGAATAGCTCTGTTAAATGCAACTTCTAATCCTAGGTTTTTGAGGAATCTCCAGACTGATTACCACAGTGTTTACACCAGTCTACATTCCCACCAACAGTGGAGAAGCATTCATTTTCCTCCACAGACCCTTGATCATTTGTTATTAGTTGACTTCTTGATAGTAGCCATTCTTTCCGGGGTAAGATGGAATCTCAGTGTTGTTTTCATTTGGATTTCTCAAATGACCAGTGATGTTGAACATCTTTTTCATATATTTATTTGTCCTTTGTATTGCATCTGAGAAGTGTATATTCATCTCAAATACCCAGCATTTGATTGGTTCTCTGAATATGAGGGGTCTGATTTTTTTAAATTTAATTTTCTTTTATTTTGAAGAGTAAAAACAAAACAGAAGCAAAAACAAATAGCAGAAACAAAGACAGAAATTGTGCAACATACAACAATATATATGTTAACAGATTTTCAAAACAAGCATAGCAAGTTAACAATGGTTTTTATACTATGTACTTTTATTGTCAAATCTGTTGTTCAAATTAACAGATATAGGTATTCAAGATTGAGACAAAATAATTGATGATTAACACTTGTTTTCAATAAACCTTAATTTTTATCTTTTTTACTTTAATAAATTATTTTAAAGAGAGTATAATAATAACTGATAAAACATTAGCAACAGTACACATTTAGAAGACCAAGATGAGAGGTATTCAACCATGGGTTTTGTATTACACATTGCTGACCTCAATGTAGTTGCCCAGATATCAGCACACAGTCAAAGTGAAAATTCTAAACATTAACTGCTATTTTCAAAAAACTGATGGAAATTATTAGTACAATTATCTGGGTCTGATTTTTTAAAATCAAGATTCCATTAAATCTGTATAACAGGATTGAAATTATGGCTATTTTCGCTGCCTAGCCAAGAACTAGGCATGGTTTTTCCTTTTTTATATTCTTCTTTATCTCCTTTCTCAGAGTGCTGTAGTTTTCAATATAAAAGTCTTGGAGCTCAGGAGATGGCTCAGTGAAATAAGCGCTTCCTTGGCAAGGGCCTGAGTTCAATCCCCGGTTCTGCAAAAAAAAAAAAAAAAAAAAAAAGTCTTTTAGTTCTTTTGTTAGATGGGTTCGTAAATATTTCATTTTCATTGATGCTATTGTGAAAGGTATTATTTCTTTTATTTGTCTCTCAGTTTATTTGTGCACAGGAATGCCACTGATTTTTTGAGTGTTGACATTGTATCCTACTATATTATAAAATTTGCTTATTAATTCTAGCAGTCCAATAGTCTGTCAGTGGAACCTTTGCATAGATACTTCTATGCAAAGTATCATGTCATTTGCAAATAATGATAATGCAACTTCTTCCTTTCCTATCCTTATTAATTTTATTTCTTTCTGTTATCTAATTTCTCTGGCTAATGTTTCCAAAACTATGTTGAAAAGAAATGGTGTTAATGGGCATCCTTGTCTTGTTCCTCATTTTAGAGGAAGAGTTTCAGGGTTTTTTTTTTATAATTTAGTGTGATGTTGGCTGTTGTATTGTCATAGATGACTTTTATATGATTAACTTAAAAACTTTCCATTCTTTTTT